AACTTGGCTCTTTCACTTGAAACTTAAATCATTGTTCGTATGCAACATACGTCTGCTTAGAATGTTTCTGCCCAAGATACCATTTGACCATGAATTCCTAAGAAGTCTTCAAGATTGCACTGTCCTCTGAAACTGTATCTATATGAATTCCTAAGAAATCTTCAAGATTGCACTGTCCTCTGAAACTGTGAGCGCACTACGTTTATGTTTCATAATCTATAGCAATATATTTTTGAAGTATCTGCACTGACAAATGAGATTAAGATCCTTTGTCAAGAGAGAAAAAAATCTTTAATATACAATTAATAAAACAATGTAATTTCAAATTAATGTATATAATCTAATTCCATTTGCACAAAAATAAGGGGAATTTCTTTTTCACTTCTACTGCTGCAGTTTTTTAAATTTGGGGAACAGAGCCAGTAAAAAAAAAAATGATTGAGGCAGAAGTGAATGATTCAAGAAGACTAGTCAGAACAATACTGGAAAAAAGGTTATGACATGAAATTAAAGCCTAAAGCTAGCTAATTCCTTTAAAAGGAATGAGATGTTTTATGCATTCATAGAAAAAGAAATTATTCTTCATAAATTTAAGATTCTGTAAGATATTTTTCAACCCAGAAATTCCTCCCACCTCTTCCTTTCATTTACTCACAGGAATTCTCCTATCCCATGCTTTGTTTGACATGAGGGAAAGAACCCAAGGCAATATAGTGTGAAGGTTTCCAGAAACTTTGAAGACTTCCTTTAGGAAGTGTTTTGGGAAAATAAAATATATGCAGTTATTAAAAAATAAAATTGCTTGCTCACTAAATTATGTACAAACATCAACAAAAATAACATTAAATGAAAAACTTATTCTAGAGATAATATTAATGAATGGTAGCTATGTAATTTATTTTTTCAGGAAGTAGCCAGTTGAAATACATTTATACATATATAAAAACATTTTGAAGATTGTAGTACATTATTGGAGAGATTTTAAACATTCCACTAAAATATCTTATTGCTCATTCTGTGATAATTTTTTGTTAAGTTTTTCGCCATAGTTCCCGTTATTATAATTCAGTTATTGGGAAAACCCACACACACCTTTCTCTTTGGTTTAAAGTGCTGTTTTTCTAAGTATTGTGAACATCTATCTGGTTCTCAGCTGCAGAGAGAAGATAAAAGCACAGTTGTGTTCCTTGGTTCTCTCTGTTTCCTCCTTGAAAACCTAGTGGGGAAGTGCTCAGTTTGCTTCCTGAAACAAATGTGATTGATGATGTGTCACAGGTTATATGATAAGACAGGAAGCCAACTTAACATTCCTGAATACATTTGTCCATTTTGGTAGATGAATTTGTGAAAGTTAAGATTGCAGACGTACAGCTGGCTCTCCACGGGAAAACCCACTTCCCCTTACAGGAAGAATTTTGGAACTGTTGTTGCTTAAATCAGTTAAGCCTAAATCAGCTGCTTAAAGCTAAGTTTTTAAATGTACTTTTTACATGGGGCTGAACAGAGACTGCTGATAATCACAGTGGCACTGAGCAGTAGCTGCCACTTCTTGTTTTCAGAAATATGGAAGTCTTTACTTAGATTTTTTTTTTGTCGAATTCAAGTCGTTGTGCATTTTCAGTAATTTAACCCATGTTAAATAGTAGCTACACCACCAATAATTTTGGTCATGAATAAAAGCCCATGTATACTATAGTGAATGAGTAAAATTATGCTTCTGACCCAGAGGAGGGCAATGTTGCCCCATTATAAAAAAAACCAAACCCAAACCTGAAAAAAAAACCCAACCAAACAAAAAAAAAAAAAAAAAAAAAAACCAGAAGAGTGCACTGCTCCCATGAGGTTGGCTATTTTTGTCTGCCACACCAGCAATGGTTTGTGCAGCAAACCAGCTTTAGTCTTCCATAGTTTAGAGGAAGACAGGACTGTTACAAACCATCCTTTTTATAGCAGAAGTAAATAAGGCAGTATCAGGAATTAAGTTTGCCAAACTTTACTTCATACCACAAATAAACATTAATGCTTATTCTTGCACCACTGAAACGTAACTCATTTAACTGGTACAAAAAAACCCCAACAACCCAACCCCAAACGGCAGTGTTTTCTCAAGTGTTTGCCCTTTCTGAGCAATAATTCTGATGGCTGCTTTTCACCAGATTAGATTGTGCTTTGCGTTTAATCAGTATTTTCTGTCACATTTTTTATCTTAATAAAAATCTCAGTTCTTTTAAGATAAATGATGAAATAAAAAGAAAAAAGTAAAGTTTAACTGAAGGAGAGGATGAATGATAAATGCTGTGTGCATGAAAACTACAGATTTGTTAATTCTCCATAGAACATTTTACTACCTTGAAATGTACTGAATATCTTGTTGCTAAAACTAAATTCAAATTCAAGTAGCTTTTGATTATTTTTTTACTGTTCAGCTCTTGAATACTCAACCCTAATAGTTATATTTAGGAAAAATAGATACTCTAATAAATGTTTAAATACTAGGATATAGTGAAAAATTTACTTCTCTAAAAATGTAAAATGTGACTCTTGAACCAGTAAATCTATCCAAGTATTAGCAATTACTTGTTTGACATTTGCAAATGCCAAAAATAAGAATGTCTTCACAATGCCTCAGGATTCCAAGAATGATCCTTTCCTCACCATGTCTAGTCTTGTCCCAAGAGATGACATAAATCAAACAGGTTTTCAAACTTCAATTTTATAAGACAAAGACCTTTATACTCCAACCAGCAAGGAAAGAAAATTACTACAAGTTGCAGCTGTGGCTCTTGGTGACTAAGCTAAGAGAAAACGAGTAAGAACCAATCCAATTCTCTCCAAAGGTACTGTAGTAGGAATAGATGTATTATTAAATAATTGGACTCCATTCTGCCTGACACAACTGTATTTCCAGAAGCACAAAGAATGCAGATTTGCCCTTGCTGTGACTAAAATGTCTTTAAAACTAAAATGTTTTCAGTTTTATTTAGTTTATTTAGTTTAATTTTTCACTAAAATGTTTTTAAAAATAAAAAATCCAGTACTTACAGGTATTCCTTTAAATTACTGAGTGAAAACCTCTCAAATATCACTTATGTATGGGACACCTTGAACTTTTGTTACTGCAAGAACAGGGGAAAAAATGAAAGCCATTGTTATGTGCTTGCTTAAATGATCTTGCTGAAATGACCTGGGAAAGATTAACATTTATTAGACTTACTCATGATGCGCTGGATGTTTTATTTTTTGATATCCCAGATGAGCCTGCCATAATAGTTTACGGACTTATAATATGATAATGAAATCTTTCTTGTGTTTTCAGATACTGGATTTTGTGTGTCTTGGGTAGCTCACTATTTTCAGCATGTTAAAACCACAGTGATCAATTCTCACTTTAACATCTTTAACTCTCCACAAGTTAATCATTGTATTGCTTAAATAAAAATACTCAGTACTGAGGGTTATTTACAACTTTGTGTATTTTATTTACCAAAATACCATGTGAAGAAATAAATTACAAAAATTGAAATGGTTATGGCAATCTGTTTAAGAAATTAGCTAAGACAAAATGTTAAATATTTCTAAGAAATCAACCCCACAATAGCAAAATATTTTACTTTAAATTGTACCAGAAGATAAATCTGATTGCATTCTGTATTTCTCCTTCTAAGAGAATCAGTATTTTTTTTATACGTTACTAATATGAACCATTAACTCAAGTCCCTGCTAAGTTACAGTCCAGTTGGAAAGTTCTGGAAGGTAACCAACATTTCAAGCAGAAGTAATTCTGAAACAAAACAACAGAATTTTTTAAAAAATCATTATTTTGCTTAAATTAAAAGTCACAATAACCACTATCACACAGTAAGTCAGGTGTCTGCCTTAGTCAGATGTGGTGAACAAAGCATGGAAAGCAACAAAAGACTTTTTGTAACAGCAAATACACTGAACTAACCCAGCGATCACATGCTCACTACTCTGTTTACAGAAAAACAAACTTGTTATGCTGAATTTCGATTATGTTTAGTTAGTATATAAACTATGCAAAAATTGTATCAAGCTGTGACTTATTGTGAGGGCAACCTTGGTGTTTGGGTCTCCAAAGGTATGAAGAATCACAACACAAAATAAAAAGAAAGGGCTCAGTTCTGCAAAGTGAGTATTTTTGCATCATCAGGTTGATACCAAGGAAAGGGAAAAAGTGCTTAGTGATTTGCAGCATTGCATTGCAGTCAAGTAACAAAACTCCCACAAAATATTATTTTAATTTATTATAATATATTATTTTAATGAGACCTAAGCCTCAAAGTGCTCTAAGATAAATTAATTCCTGATTCCTACTGCCATTGTAACCTCTGAACAAATCTAACAGGACAAAGTAATCTGAAATGTTATGTTTCTGTCTGTATATGCTTTATCCAGTAATATAAGTAACATGAACATCATGGATATCTTCTCTCTTTTTCTCCTCTGGTTGCTTGCCTGTGTCCGTGACAACGTTTTTCCCTCTGGTTGCTTGCCTGTGTCCGTGACAACGCTTCATGTAATGTTTTTTATGTGCGTGCAGTTCTATGGTCTCCTGCATATGGAAAGTACAACAGGAAACCATTGTAGTGAAACTGTGGTGTGTGCTGGCACGGCACTGAAAAAATAGTCTATATTCAAACCTAATCTATCTGAGAAAAAAGGTCACAAGAATTGATTTTTTCAGTCAGTTATCTTAATACAAGTAAAAACTCCACTCATATAGACTTTATTCAGCATCTTTCTGAAGATTTTAGTCGGCTGCTCTATATAGTGGATATGTGCTTAAAACTGACCTAAAGATTGCTTTGTTCTGAGAAGCTGACCCCGGGTGAAGAGGAAACTGGGCAGACTGGAGCGGTGACCTTTGTGCTGTCCCTTTCCCTTTTGTAACTGCCCCGAAGGAGGCGGCTGCTGTTGGCTGTTCTCACGCCCGCTCCACGTACAGGACCAGTGAAAAACAATCTCTGGAGAATCTCACGCCCGCTCCACATACAGGACCAGTGAAAAACAATCTCTGGAGAATTTTCTTTTGGGTGTTAAGAAAGGAGACATTAAAAGATTTTTAAATTAAATTCAGCCAGCTTCACTGCAAGTGAAGGAATACTGGACAAATCTTCTTTCTGAGGAAGGAAAGACTGAAATGACTGAACACTTATTCCCTAGGGAGAGCTATGACACAAGGGTAATAAATGCTGGATGCATCTAAAAAAGTATCTGCCCCGAGTTCAGAGGAAAACCAAAATATTTCAGAGTACAAGGACAGAAAATTAACTTTTTTTAGTCTTACCCAGAATAAAACCAAAACATTTGGAAAGGAAATTCTTTAGACCAAAACTGACTTCTCTAATGAGCAGCACAGGTTTTCCGGTTGCCAGTGTCTGAACTTTTCCCAACCAAAGGCTAATCAGCATCTTACCAGACTCCCAAAAAGACATATCAAACCAGCAACAACAGAGAACGGACCGCTCCTACCTTCCTCCAGACCACAAGCACTGTGATGCAGTGCTCCAGTGCTCCCTCTTCTTCCGAGAAGCTGATGTTTGGATTGAGACGCTGCACAAGCTGCTTGGATCTGCCATCTCTGTATCAGCCCGACTTCCTCCTCAGCACCACGGAAAAGAAGGTGCTGAGGAGTTACACTTTGCTTCCCCTCTGTCCTTTCCTGGAGCCGTGTTACTCAGTGAAATGTGCTTCTCTGGGCTTCTTGTGTCAGCCCTAGCAGCTTGAATCTCTCCGCTGGAGGAGTGGCAAAATAGGCTTTTTGCTCCTCCGAATACCTTTCCTTCACTTCAATGATGTCCCTGTAGCGGCCGTCCTGCCAGTGGAAATTGAATTCCTCCAGCAACTCAATTCTTTTTTCCTCTGTGTTCACACAGTCGATGGGGGCAGACTGTTCCAGGAATGGTACCTGGATGTCTGGAAACACGAGGAGACCCCGGATAGCAAACCAACCGCCATACTTGGGATGGATACATACACCATAGATCTTCTGGAAGGAAAAAAAAAAAAAAAGAAGGGTCTAGGATGTCTCATTTTGTCTCGAGTAATGGTTAGAGTTCAAAGCATTAAGCTTTGATGCTACTTCTCACACTCCTAGCCCTCTGTTGGAGTGCTGCACAGAGAAGAAAGGAAAGCTCTTTCCTGAACATGTGGCTCAAAGCATTGCATTTAATTCCCATTATCCTGTGCCCCCACACACAGTCCTGTAATGTGGGGAGAGGTCCCTTTTGAAAATCTAACACAGAAATAAACCACAGTGCATTTTTTTCCCCTATTTATAATACTCCAAGCAACGGATCTTCTTTTACAGTGAAATTTATTCTTCTGAGTAGGTTTAATAGGTCAAGATATTCTTCTCCATGTATGCACCTCCCTACACCCCAAAGAATCTTGGGAGCTCCCGATTCCTGCCTGAAACACTTTATGCATCTATATGTGATCTGGACTCAGTATTTTCCTGCGGGAAGAACTAGTGAGTAAAGAACAGTTGTACAATTTGGTGATTGCAGGTTGGTGGTTCTTCCCAGATTGCGTTTTTGCCTCACCTTTTTCCCCCAAGGATCAAGCTTCACATCCTTCCTTTGGTAGTAATATGCGGCTCCAGCCACGTGGGCAGCTGTCTGCGCCAAGAACTTGGGCTTTCGGCTTGGCAGGATCTCGTAATCAAAGATGACGTCCACCTTCTGGTCAGGGAATTTCTGGAAAAATGAAAAACAAACAAAAAAAAGCATCAGCCCAGGTTTATGGACAAAGATTGAGCAGTACAGAAGTGCTGGATGCCGGCAAATCAAGCGTGTGTGAAGCCTGCAGATTTCCACATCCTGCTACTGAAATCTACCAGCAGCTTCTGGCCTTGGCTTTTCAAACTGGGACTGTGAAGCGCCCTGCACAGCTACAGGCTGTAACGGCAAAGAGACCAGAATATGCAAGTAAAGCAGGTCAACAGCCTGTTGATGCTCTTAGTACGAATTAACCATCGTGAATAATGCTTCACCCTTCTAAAGAGCAAGGGCAGGAACCTGGCAGGCTTTGTCTAGTGCTCAGCCCACCCGCTCACATGCCACAGTAGTAAAAGCAATTGGTATTTCAGGTTCTTACCTCCTTCACCCGTGCCAAGTGATGAGAAACACACTGATCCACAGGATCCCTGATTATTTTTAACTGCTCTTTGTTCACAAAAGGTTTAAGGGCTTTGTCAAACATTGAAGGTGTGCTGAGGACCACGAAGGCCAGTGTGTCATCTGGGTAGGGGAGGTGAAAGGCTGGCTGGAGAACAGCATTGTACCATCCAACCTTTGGCAAAGAAAAACAAATCTCCATTAAAACAGAGACACCATTCTTTTGCTAGCGGGCATGCAGGAATTAAAAAAAAAAAAAAAAAGTGGAAAGAAGTGTAAGCACCTTCATTTGCAACCCAGATAGGCAGCCTGCCCAGTGCCTTCCATTCAAACCCAGCTGGTTTGCATACTGGGATTTACAGTTTCTGGAAGCTGCACCTTAAATGTGGGAGATAAGAATCATCCGCTGCATTCAGCTCAAGATTGCCCTTTTATCCAGCTGGGATCAAGGAGGAGCAGCCAGTCTTGCCAATGCAAATCAGATGTTTTGGTTTAGATAGCGCTTTTACAAGTTTGAGGATTTTTTTTTTTTCCCCTCAGCTTCAGCCAGAAAGAAGCCGGTACTTCTGTTTCGCTCGTGTGACAAGTTGTGTGGTTGTATTTCTTCAGCAGGAAACATTTAGGTGTGAAAACAAAGGATGTGGGGTTCCCCGCCAGTGCTAAAATTCCCCAGAACTATCAGCTGTGGCGCCTGGATTGTGACACGGCCACATTCTGATACCTGTTGCCGGGGCCGGGTGTGTTAGAGGCAGAAAGGAGGGCTCGAGCCAGGACGTGACCAGGGGGACAGGGCTCAGAGCAGGAGCTGCCACGCAGGAGGAGGTAACGGCCAAAACCCCACACTCCACCATAACATCAGCCCTTGTATAGGTTGTGACAACTCCCACTCTCCTGGGACGCCGCAAAGACCAGGTCTAACATTCAGAAAGACGCCAAGCAGCGTAACTCTAATATTTAGTCTGAAAATGCAAAATCCTGGTCACCTCGAAACATCAGTGAAATTAATCTGGAAGTGACTTTACAGGTGACACTGGCAGCTGTAGGGAAACACAGAATGAAAACTGTTTACATTCTTACATCAAAAGTAAGATTTAAAAGTTTTAATCGGTTTTGTGACTCTTGTTTGAGGTGCTGAATTGAGATATTACAAGAAACTGAATCTAAAGTTTGCTCATTTCCCAGTTTATGTCGGCCAGAGCGCCAGGGCCCGGCTGCCTGAGAATCCAATCTCGAAAGAGGTACCAGTGCTGGGAGCTGCGGCCTTTGTGATCTGGGTTCTGCCCCTGATCCTGCTGCTGGATTTTGGGAAAGCGGCGTTAAATTCTTCTCCAAATCCTGGAGATCTCACTTCTCTCAGCGCCTCGCTCCCTTTTACTTTCTGTCCAATCAAGAACATGGCAGGAAGTAGAAATATTTCAGGTGACAAATATTTGGGGTGACAAATACAACACTCCCCCGAGGAGGGGAAGGTCAGGTCTCATTTTGTTTGATACCGCAGGCTGATTTATTGCAGATTGCCCTTGGGGCGAGCAAGGCAGGCACCCCACAGGGCTGGTGGGGGCCGAGGGAGGGGCGTAAGCGGGCGAGTGTCATCGGGACGGGGCAGCCTGCGCTTCCATATGCCGCCTTTCTGCATTTCGGTTAAAATTTAATCTTGGTCAGAGGACTTTACCCTCTGTCGGTCCAGACGCGGCTGTATTTGTCTCTCCCGGCCTTAACAGCCAGCGCAAGGGACCCGAGCTGACCTCCGGTTCGCCCGGGCAGCTGTAGCCTTGACCGGCCTCACCGGGCGGGATGAGCGGAGGCTCCCCGGGCGCCCTTCCAACCCCGGCCCCGCTCGGGGCTCCGCCTCCGGTACCCAGCGGGGCCGGCAGAGCCGAGGCCCGGGCCGGCAGTGCCGCCTGCTGGCGGGAGCGCCGGGGCTCGTCCCGCCCGCGCTCATCCCGAACCGCCGCCATCCTCGGCCCGGCGCCGCGGGGCCGCCACCGACTGCGGGAACGGCCACACCCCCCCCTCTCCCCGCTCCCTCCGCCAACCCCGGGGATGGTGACGTCGCTCTGCTTGACGCCACGGCGGGGGA